TGCCCAGGGTGCACCACGTGGAGGTAAGTCTGTCGCACACTCCGTAAAAAAATTATCGTTTCTGTTATTTTTTTCTCTAGAAACCAATCGTCGAGTTTTCTTTGGAGAATTCAAGGGCCCTGGAAAAGCGGAGACGACGACAGGAGAAATCAATTGTAAGTCAAATGTCTCTTATAATTATTAGTGAGTAATATATGTCTTTCTTAATTGCATTCTTTCTTTCTATCGGTTTAGATGATACAAGAGTCGAAATTGCTTGGCGAAAAGCCGCAACAGGGACAGCTACGCGCACTCGCAATGGCGAATAAGACAGCCAAGCGTGCGAGCAAGAAGGCGAAGAAGGGAAAGAAGGGTCCAAAGCGGCCCATGCGAATTATGCCCAAAAAATTGGGTTTTAAAACGAGGACCAAGCAAAAGGGTAGGAAGAAATCGTCAAAAGGCCGTGTCTAATACCTCTAACAGATGATAATTAAACATTGTATAGTGTTTTAACACGTCTTATTTTGTATTTGAAATGTTCATTAAAGATGATGCTAAACCCTATTCATCCACTACTGGAAAAATGAACTATGTTAGCAACGACCTTCAATTAGCCATTGGCCAGTTTTGAGATATTCAGCCTACCGCTTCCCTTTTGAGGACTCAGAAGATAAGTGCCACTTTTTCTCACCAAACGGTCGTCTTAGATTTTTTATTGAATGAATAATAAAGAATAGTCGTCGTCCTCCTAGATTCTGTCTTAATTAGCCAAATAGACTGCATTTTTAAGAACAGAATCGAATTAATACCAATTAGCTCTATATTACGACAGATACAGATCGAGTCTGTTGCGAAAGGAGTAGGTAAAGACCTACCACTCAACAAGGGCTTCCTTTTTATTGAAGGGAAAATCTGACTGTTTAAAGCTTGAATTATGAGGTCCGGATGAGCATAATGCGGACTGATTTTCTGGGATGAGCTAGGAAGAAAAGTGACAGGTTGATACTGCTCGATAACGAACTTTGCTAGAAATAGCAAGTGCCAATTTATGGTAAATAATAGACGGAGAATTCACTGACTGCAGAAAACATAAGGAGAAGTAAAAGATTAGGCATTAGTTTTTCAAAGCGAATAACACTTTATGCATTTATACAACACTTTTTATCCAAAAATGGGAGTTCGTGTTTTGTGCACTCAAAATCAAATTCGATATGCGACAATGAGCTAAAAATTCTCAAAATTCCTAAAACAAAAAATATATAAATTTGAAAGTAACTAACAAAATGCATCTTCGAAACAGATGGGAAAATTGTAAGTTTGTAATTCTAAAGACACTGATATAAATTCAACTGATCTGTAATATTTAACAGTTAAACATAATAGGGAATGCAACATCAAAATATGCTGCGATTAATAAGGTTTAGAAACTATAGTGAATGGAAACCTAAGAACTTAGTTTTTATCACTTGATGAAACAGTACTTTTACTTGCAGTAATATCTGATATAAATTATTATATAATTGCTTCTAAATAATTTGAACAAATCCTTGATATTTCATGCCTATATTTGACCAACTTTTACCAATATTAGCTGACCTAGAGAAATATTTTAACTGTCTCTATATATTCTGCTACTTACAAACACCTTTTTATCCATCTAATTGGGGCAATGGAAACGGTAGTGTTGCATGACTGTTTAGTAATAAAACCGTATGAGTGTATTATTAGCCTTAATTTTGTGTATTTTAACCTTCAGAGTTATCAAAGCTTTATTTTGCTGCTATTCGTTTTCGTTTCATTCAATATTGCATACTCTGATTGCGGTCAATGTATTTGGAGAGGGTTGTGCAACAATTCTAGGGATGAAATTCCTTTGTATTGCAACGTGACGGGTCCTCCTAAACCTATAAATCATTCACAAACTCTATCGAAGTTGCTTCGTATTTGTCCTGAATACCAAAATGATAATGACTTCAGCACTTCTCTACCTGTCTGTTGCTCGTCAGATCAAGTTGAGGTTTTTGAGGCATCACTTCAATTGGCCAAAGTGATTATTGGAAGGTTTGTTTACTTCAAGAATTAGTTTCAATTCCTTTAGTTGTCCATCTTGCTTTGCCAATTTCCGTCGTCTGTTTTGTGAGATGACATGCAGTCCAACTCAAAGCGATTTCATTTATCCGGTTGAAGTTCGTTACGATAAGGCAATTGAAAGGGTGAACTATAATCTAACTTACCAATTTGGCAATGGGTTTTTCGATAGTTGCAAAGTGAGTTATTGTTTATTCCTTGCATACATCTGTATTTTTAATATTTCTGTCCAAAATAAAATTTGGTGTATTTCCTTATTGCCTTGTAAACGTTTGATAATTACCTTATACGTGATTACTAATGCCTTAATTGTAGTTTCTCGTCTGCTTGATCTGCAGGATACTTTCTTAAAAATGTGATTTTGTTTCATTGGATATAATTTGCAGCTTAGTTTATAGTCTATTTCTTGTGCATTTCTGATCGTTTCCTATAGAATTAATTTTCTTAAACGTTTCTACACTTATAACAGCTATTCAATGTTTCTTAAGTATTAGGGATTAAATGTTCAAGGATACTATTTTAACCTAGAATTTATGAATTATCCATTTTTAGGACTTCACCCATTAGTTTAAAATTGAGAATTGGTTTAGGATTCAATTATATTCGACTTTCCGTCATTATCGTTTGGCCTAGTCACCGTAGTAATTAATTGTGGCAATCGAAGAGTCAAGAAAATGACATTGAATAATAAGTTAATCAGTTTTAGCTATGAAATACTAAATCAATCAAACTGTTTGGAAACGATAAAGCAGTATGATAATTAATTGAATACTTACCCATGGACATATCTAAAATGAAGTGATCAATAAAGTAGAGCATTTAGTGGTTCAGAACAGGATGCATATCGTAGTAACGACGGTCGATATTCCCTCGATAGGATGTTCAATTTTCCGGATCTCCAGCCATTTCCGCTATGTGTGGTGATAGCGAGTGCACTCTGCCAAAACTCCTCAAAGCTCTGGGAACCTCCATAAACCATGGTGGACAGGCACCTTTTGATATTGACTTTGTCCTTGTCGATGCTTCAAGTAATACCAAAGCTATGAATGCTAAAACTTATGCCTGCAATCAACCTCTTCCTCCCCTGGGTCCTAACAAAAAGGAATCCGCCTGTAGTTGTTCGAATTGTGCTAGTGCTTGCTCTACACCAGATTTTCCTCCCTCTGAGAAAGTGATTCTTCTTTTTGGTAGGTCGTTGTGTTAACCATCTTCGCTTTCGCATTGAACCTAATTTCCATTTACATTCTTGGACTACAGGCATACCCATCGTATATCTTATCATCGGTGGAGTTTTCACAGTCCTTCTTCTAGTGTTTGTGATAGTCGAGGGTGCCCAATGTTGTCGTGAGTGTCGTCAGAGTGGGAGGACTGAACGACATGAGGGTGAAGACACAGAATTGCTGATATCTACACCCATGCACGAGGAGGAACAACGTGCCTCTTGGCAAGAGAAACTTGGGGCTTCGTTAGATTCCGGACTCTATAAGGTTGGTTTTGTAATAATATTAGAACTCAGCATAAGATATTGAAGAAGGCTTCGAGAAGCCTGATTGCCATTATTTTAACCCTTCATATTGGGAAGTGTATAGGCTATATCCAGCGCATAATTCGAGCTCTATACTCATAGGGTGACAAATGCTATGAGGAAAAATGGTTACCCCAGTCCGAGAGACCACTTCACATATATCCAGTGGCGCCTCATTTGAGGTCGTAGTGACTCCCTTAAAATGTGAGAATTTATAGTGATTACCTTGAGAAATTTTTTGGGTAGTGGACTTGTACAAAGCAATTGGTGTTGGGTTAACTGCGCAGAGTGGAAGTGTTGGAGCACACTTTGTGCCAGAGGAGCAAATTATATTGTGCTTTTAAATGACCAGCTGTGTACGAAAATTTCTTCATTAGCTGAAAAGATTTCTTAAATACCAAGTAGAATCGTAATTGATCGCCAGTAATCAGAGGCAAAATGCTTTTCAATGACACAATAATTTGAATGATCATTCATGGGTTGGATATTGGCTTGCAAGCCTATTATGTTGCAGAAATCTTCCATCTCCTCTCCCACCTGATATTTCATGGTACCTAAAGGTGAATTGACACTTAACTGAATTACCATAACGGGGTTTGCTTGAATTTCAATTGGCTGAAATATTAACCAACCATTTTGGGCGATAATTGAGAAAAAACCAAACTTCTGTTACTTAGTGATTATTGCTATTATTAATAATGCTATTATTGTTAATTTCCTTACAGGTCTTCTCCCGTTTGGGATTACTGATAGCCAAACATCCTATCGCAACACTCCTATTTTCAGCCATCCTAGTAGCCATTCTGTGCGGAGGTTTGACCATGTTCACGGTGACTACCAACCCGATAGATCTTTGGAGTGATCCAAGTTCTCGAGCAAGGCGCGAGAAGGATTACTTTGATTCACACTTTGGGTAGGTGGTTTCTCTTCTCTTTTCTCCCTGATTTGGTATAATAATAATAATAATAATAATAATGATATGACGCAATGTTCCATTTGCAGGCCCTTTTATCGTGTTGAACAGCTAATTCTACGGCCTGTTAACAATACACCGGTAAATGGAACTTTTGGATCGGCTTTTCGAAGGGACTTTCTTGATTTGGTATGCTCTCATCAAATTAAAATATTCAGATACAATCAATAATTTTTTTATTACTACTTGTAATTTGTGTTATAGTCTTTTCTGCTTATGATTGTTGATCCCAGTCACCCCTTTTGTTCTATTGAACGAAAGTTGACGAGGTTGAGTAGATTAATCATGGAAATGTCACACTTGACACTGGAATTAATGACTCGGGATGCGGGGAGATGAGTGAAATAAAATTTGGACACTCTCAGTCGAGCTACAATTTGTTGTAGATGATTCAAGAGCTGTTGATGCTGAGAATAGGGCATGACTTCCAAGTCATATTTCGTAACAAAATTTGGCTAATTTTCCACTCATAAACGATAAAATTGGGCTCACTATTTACTGAATCTGAATTGAATAGTCCGCCAGGACTTGGTGACATTTGTTTATATTCATCTAAACAATAATATTCCTCATCGAATTTCCTGTCCTGATAGGTTCTCGACTTGCAACTCCGAATATCGAATATCACTGTGTACTCTGAATTGTTAAAGTCGAACATTACCCTTGCGGATATTTGCTTCAAGCCAATGGCCCCAAATAATACAGAATGCGCAGTAACCAGTCCATTGGAATACTTCCAGCACAATCAAACTCGTTTCAACACTTCGGTAAGTATGCACGCGTTTACCATGTACTTGAAGAAGCAATGTTTACCAAAAGCACACACCACCCTATATTATATTTTGAAAAGTTATATTATAAAATGTGAAATCTTGTAGCGTAAGCGGCCATTTCCAATTGTGAATTTGGCTTTAAATAAGATGCTGAATTCTCAAAATTTAGGGTTAAATGTGCACACGTGGGCGGCAATTTGGCCGAAGATATACAATACTGAAGCTAGAACACCTTTGCTGGCGTATACCTCTTCCGTAATTGGCAAAAGATGTGCGATTTAGGTTTTACTTGAGGTATTTTTTTTAATAACGGAATTCAGGAAGTAAGAGTTCGAGTTACTTGAAGGTCAAGTTGATTTTCCTCTCGTGCCTTTAATCTCTCCTGCCAATCGTTGTCGAAAAAACGTTATTTAATAGATTGGCTTGGGTTTATAAGAAATAACCGGTTTGATCCGACTTTTAAATCATTAATGATCTATTTGATTTGATATGTCTGCTATTATCGATTAATTTAAACTCCACACACACCACAACATTCACTCAATTCGTTTACGTTCAAGGTTAGCTTTATTAATCCCAGCGTGCATGGCGCCTTTGTTAACATGCTCTTTTTGTTTCTCTCATGACTAGGCGTCTTTTTACAATCTTCTCTTTATTTCAACCGATGAATGTTATTTTTTTTGTATTGCGACTAACAGTGACTGAAATACACGAACAACTTGAGTGCATATGTCTTTAATAAAATGGTAAATTAGTGGGCAACCAAATGACACTTATAAGATAATCAGAAATGTTAGCATATGTCATACTTTGAAGCATTCTGAGGGTTTAACGAAGAATGGAATTATTTATGTCTAATATCTACTGTTTTCTGAATTTATTGTTTGGGGCTGTTAGATAAGGGGGAGCCTTTGATGAGACATTAGTGTTTGATGGAAGCTCTAGTCATTACAATTGTAAATCACCATCAATCTACTGTTTGATATTATGTGTAAAAATTTTGTATTGCTGTTCTTTTAATATTACTTCACTAGGACTATCTCAGCCATCTCTCGGAATGTATCTTCAACACCTTCAATTCCTCGTGTTTGGGAGCATCTGGAATCCCGCAAATGCCCAATGTCGTATTTGGCGGATTTAAGGGTTAGACAATCAGTATTTTCTTATGTCAAGATTACATTGTTATATGGATGATCAACTATCTTCATTCCAGTCACTATTCCGTCTTGCCCCTAATAGAAAGTGAAAATTCGATCATTAAACCGATTTCGGACTTTAAATATCGCAGATGAACTTGGTTGAAATGCGGCAGCTAGGGTCACCGAGTATTTAGAAACCAAATCGACAAATTCAATAGCCTTTGCTCAGTCAAGTCTACCTTCACTCCCATACATCGGTTAATAAATGAAGACTGGCTATAATTAGAAGGTTTTAAAACTTCAACCAGCCTCGCAAAGTTTGCATAATTTAAGTCATTTACATGTGGGATAGTGCAAAGGTTACCAGCAAGTCTGTCTGGCATTAATTAATCACAAGTTACCTGTCTGGCTTCATTGATTCCCACTTAGGGATATGCTGCTTGGACTCTATAGTCTGCAAGGGTGTTTCTAAGCCCATCATCATACTTTATTCCCAAATTGGTTGTCAAAAGTGGGATCCCTTTAGGTGTGAAAATTTACATCTATTGCAATCGAAAATAAATCGGATCACTCAAAATACTCAGATGAGTCACGTCAGTGATATCTGCCATCCTATGTGTGTGATAAGGTTGTTGATGATGACTGACCTTGACACTATCTTATCATTTAAGACGCATCACAGCTGTGGGGTGAAACTTGCCTTCTAGCACTCACCTTTGTCAAAAATTATTGAGGTGAGGGAAAGTTAAACTTTTGAGCATTTTTAAATTCCAATTATAAACGCTTTTAAGGAAAGAAAGGTGTTATGAGTGCTAACAACAGAACCGTAAGCTTTGATTGACACCAGTTGCGACAGCATGTGACCACATTGATCGAATTGCCTTGAGACACTTCCACCTTAGCAATTTTGACTTATGCCTGCCATCAAGTTCGCCTTTTTTTGTCATTCCGGAAAGTGTGTCAATTTACCAAATGTAATATGACGTGTTTACCATGGCAATTGTAGCAGAGACCGACCAAAAAGGACGAAACCGGCAAGCTTCTTGCTCCAACAACTTGTTTCTCTTTTTTTTGTTAACTTTTTAGAGCGAAATTATACTCTGGCCAATGCAGCAATCCTGACAATTTTAGTTGAGAATAACGTTGATCTCAAATCTGAGCACATTTCCAAATGCCTGTCTTGGGAGGGAGCTTTCTTAGCATCCGTTCGTGAATGGCAGGAAGAACACTCCTCGGAAGTAATTGTCAGCTACTCTGCTGAGGTAAAATCCCAATTCCGATCTCAAAAACATAATGTACTTTTTTAAATCAATATGGAAATGAGTTTGAATTTCCCGTTGCTCATTCCATCTAGCGATCAGTTGAGGATGAAATTGAACGCCAATCGAATGCTGATATTCTAACGGTTCTCATCAGCTATTTGGTGATGTTTGTGTACGTTAGTCTCTTCCTTGGAGCCTACAGCACTTGCCGAAACATTCCAGTGAGTTCTACTTATTTTTCCCTCATTTATTTT